TTACCACCCAATAATTTAATTACAGATTATGCACCTCTGTCAGAGCCCACTGCAGCATTTCAGGATGTCACCATCCTCACAGGGAAAAGGGCTTCACTTCATGGTTTCTGTCCAATAAAACTCTGCCTCACCAAAGTCTGCCCTTATTACCCTCAGTCCCTTTAATTACTCTCCCAGACACTCAGGTGGGGTCTCTGGCTGCCTTTCACCCTCAAGGGTGACCAAAAGGCAAGAGCAGAAAACAAAAAGGATGAGGCTCAGGCTCCTGCCCAAAGCCACTTGCTGTGGATTAAAGGTTTAATAACAAACGAATAAATGTCACCGATTTTCTCCAAGCCACGTCTGTGTGGATTCCAATAACGCCTCAGGAGGAAGGCAGGAACCAAGCACACCCTACACCTGTAAGTGCATCATCAGCCGTGCAGGCTCCCCACACATGCACAGGCACAAACAACACCACCCCAGGAAAAACACACTTCTTCCACAGTTAGGAGGAAACGCCTAAATTTTGGCAAAACTGCAACAAATACGGCTGTGAGATTTTCCTGCTCCTCTCTTCATTCACAAATTGTTCCTACTAGTAAGCAGACAGAAAACATTTATCAAAGAGCAGGGCTCAGTCCCTGGATAGATCTCAGGGGGTTTCCCTTGTCCGTTTGGTTGTTGTTTTGGGTTGGGTTTTTGTAGCTTCTTTGTTTTATTTTTTGCATTTCTTTTCCACCTCTTGCCTTAGGTCACAAGGGGCACTGTAAATTCAATTCTGTAGAAGATAATCCATTATAGAAAAAATTTTTTTAAAAGTTTGGAGAAAACCAACCCACGACACATTCTTTTATTTCTTGTCACGTGCTGAGAAGAAAAACTCACCTGGTATTTTTTTTTTTAATTTCTCCTGAAAATTTCTAAAACATGGTGGTCTCTGGCCTGCCTTTCACTGGAGCATCACAGGGAGTTCCCTGCCCACAGGCAAGCAGTAAGATTTATGGACAACACTAACCCTGAAAGTGCCAAAAATGCCCCAAAAAACTCCTCAGCCACCTACAGCATCACAGGATGCTGAGCAACGCAGGGGGGGTGCCCAAAAAAAGTGAGTAACTTTTAATTAGTTTCCTCTTCACCAAGAAATGGCCTTTGAGTGCTGTTGCTAGGTTGAACATACATTAAAGTAGCTGAGAGGAACAGCAAAAGCTGTTGGGGGCATGTGCCAAGGAATGAGTGTAAAACAGGGACAGCCACCACAAAATCACCCTGTCCTCCACAGAACCAGAGCTGCAGCAGGCAGGAAAAAAATTCAAATGATTGGATTCTGTTAATCTGTGGGGACATGGACCTAATACTGCATTTAATTTTGCTAAGTGGGAGGAAGATTATTGCAGGCAAGATACAAAGAATATCTCTGCTCAAATCATGTGACATTTACAACCTTAAATACTCTGAGAAAGTTATTAATACCAGTGTCAGAACATTTCCATGTATTCAATGCACAGTTATGAAAGAAACTAAACACACAGGCCTCCTCCCAATGCGGACAACAATATTCATGTTAATATTTACATTCCTCTAATCACCTGTTTCCACTGGTATTAAAAAAAACCTGTCTGTGAACTTGCTGGATAACAAGTGCCAGCCTTCTGTGAAGCACTGCAAAAAGCAGGATTTGGGGCATTTGGCTTTACTTTTGGAAGAGAATAAGCCCTCACTGAGACAGAGCCAGCCATTCTCCTTCCAGAGCTTTTGAAAGAAAAGCTGAAACGAATCCTCATCAAGACTCTCAGTGCCACAGTGAAGGACTCTTTGGGAGCTGCACTTGTTTACAACCCCAATTCCCCTGGGAAGAAGCAGTTTAACTAAAATCAGACGCTATTCTGCATGTGGTATTTACATGTCCTAATTTGCTGTTTGGAAACTGAGCACCTTCCACCTTGTTATTCTTTCATTAAATCTATGTCTCTATGTCTTTTTTGGGGTTTTTTTTGCCTGAATTGTGAAATCAGAGTGTACAGCAACACCTGTTTGGTGTTTATGAAAAGTCTTCTAACATGTGGGGGAAATCAAAACACTTTTCTTTACAAACAAGAATTCCCTCTGCAGTTCATATGCAGCATACTCAGTTTGACCACACATTTCCAGAATATCAGTTGATTCATTCTTTATGCAGTCATCATTAAGACAGGTTCTGTACTTTTAAGTGATTTTTCTTTGCAGTAAATATCTCTCTGAAGGGAAAAATAACCACAACCATACTAATGTATTAATGGAAAAGGCAAAATAAGTGCATTCTGCTGTGGCAATTGTTTTTCAAACCGTTAATGCTGCAACGTTAGAGCAAACCTGATGAAGGCTTTTGGCATCTTCCAAGGAATGGTGGCTCCTGTAGCACCTGGATGTGCCCAGCAGGGGTGGAATGTGTCCCTGCCCAGCACCTGGGATGGCTGTGGGGGATGGACACCAAGCCTGGACACGTCTGGTGCCCAAAATTCTGTGTCCTGTGCAGGGCAGCACAGCCCAGCTCTGACAACTCACAGAGTCCCACCTGGCACACGACCTGACCATCACTGCCCAAACAACTGGAAACCCACACTGAACGGATCTGCAAGCCAAGAAAAACAAAAATCTATTTGCCCTACAAGCATTTTCCATAATCTTTATTACATAACTTGGAGAAAATGCATTGCTTTTCCAAACGTCCACTCGAGGTATGCTGATGAAGCTCTCTTGTGAGATTAATTCCTCTTTCTCTCCCTCATTTGTGTAATTCTATAGCACATATCACTCTAATGCCTAAGTTACTCAGGTAAATAAAACCCAGACTAAAGGAGATAACTTTTGTCTTTTGCCCCTCCTTTGGAGAAGAGAGATCTGATTCTTCAGAAACTGCCACAGAGACTCTCTTTTTTTTTTTTTTCATTCCATTAATACATTTGTGTGGTGAAATCAAAGCAAATGGAATCTATGCAGTATTTTTTCACTGCCAGGAGTTAGCATGTGCACTATTGACTTTTCATTATCACCTGATTGAAGAAAGCTTGCCTGTCTCTGTTTATAAACTGAAGGTTCATGGTTAATTGCTTTACACCTTTAAGAACATGAGCACATTTTCTGCATGGAAAAAACTGCTTAATTTTTGAATATTTTTTTTTCCTTGTGATGGATCAGTTTTAGTCGCTGAGGGAAGTTCCTGTACACCTTAGCAAAGATTTGTGTCTCAATGTGTGTATGCAAACAAGGGTGCACTTTAATGAGTAAACATCTGTGAAAGCAACTAACACTCAAAAGCTTTGAATAAAGCTTGGGATCAAGCAAAAGGTGAACAGAAAGGGATATTTCCTGATGCTCTCTCTTGAAAATTCAAACTAGCATCCCAAAAAAAAAAAAAAAGAAGCATTCTTCTGCCTCTTTAATAGCAGTCTGCTATTCTTTAAAACACCCAAATAGTTGATGTCTGAAGCAATAAAAGCTCAGCTTCCTGCCCTGTAATTATTACTAGATGTAATTATGAACAACTCATTCATCACTATAAAAGCACAACTTAGGGCTCCCAAAGAACAGGCACGGAAGGGATTTATTTTCAGGCAGTTCTCCTAGTCAAGCTGTAATTTAACAACAGCACTGACAAACAAGTGTAGTAAGGCAATGTAAAGAAGGCAGGGCAACATCCATGTTTAAATATCATCTGGGGATCCTCCAGTACTCCATTTATAACGCTATAAAAAAATGCCTCAGAGCAATAGGCAAGAGCTGGAGGGTGAACAGGACACAACTACAACAATCCCAGCTCCCCAAAGTTCGCTGCTTTAACCACGGAGCATGCAGGGGCTGCCTGGCCACACCAGGATTATTTACGGGTGGGGGGAAAAGCACAAACACAGGAGCAGGCTCTGAGCCCTCCTGCAAAGCCGCCACGCCAGGGAAGCCCAGAGCTGTGCTGGGTTTCAGAACGTGCCTGTGGCGTGTGTCACTTTCTCACAGGGCGAGGAAACACCTGCAGCCAGCCCCGAAACCGCGCTGCTGCCGCCAGCCCAAACCCCAAAAAACTTCCCCAAACCCGCCCGGCCCTGCCGGGCTGCTCCGCCGGCACCGGGCACGCCAGCACCGGAGCAAGGCACGCTCCAAAGGCAGCGCAGGGATCCCGATGAGGCTCCAGGAGGTGCGTGTTGAGGATGCCCGCTCTCCGCGCACGCCGAGCGCCCTTCCCTGCGCGGTTATGTAAGCGCCGGGAGCGTTCAGCCACTCCGCGCTCCGGCACCGCCGTGTCCCCCCATCCCAGCCCGATCCGCCTCGGCCACCACCAGCCGGGGCAGGCCAGGGGGGCCGGGCAGGAATTTGGCGACCCCGGGCTCTCGGTGGTGGTCCTTCTGGGGTGGGATCCCACCGGAGCCGCCAGCGCTGCTCGCCCCGTGGCAACCGGGCAGGACCCGGCTCGGGCTCTGGGCCAGCCCCATCTCCGTGCCATCGCCACACCTGCCCGGCAAGGAGCCCCCCAGCCCCCTGGCATGCCGCAAGCTGCAATCCAGGGCTCGGGCTCGCCACCTGCCCGGTGCCACACCAGGAGCGAACGGAGAGCCTGGTTCCCCCCGGAGCATGGCCACGGGAAAGGGCTCAGTGACCTCCCAGAGTGTCCCCGTGCTGCTCTGGGACTTTGTCCCTCGCAGCCTGCGTGTGCTGAGTTTGCTGAGCCATGTACAGCTGCACGGCACGAGTGCTGGCACGGGGATGGCCCAACCCAGGTGAGACGATCCCACCTGGCCGGTGAGACGCTACTCTCTGAAATTCAGCGTGCTGTCCCTGGGGGTGGGAACACAAGAGTCAGGGAGCAGCGAAGCGACCACTCCAGAGCCACGGGCTCGCCCACTCGGCCGCCAGCACCCGCAGCTCCCCGGGAGCCACGGGACCTCCGGCGGGGCCGGGCCGGGGGCGGCACCCCGGGGGTGCGAGGGGGCGGCCCGAGGGCCCGGCTGTGCCTGCCCTCCACCCTCCAGCCTCCACCCGCGGGGCGGTACCTGCTTGTCCAGCGCCGCATCCCTGCCGCTGCCCGCCGCGCATCCCTTGGGAGCGGCCACCCGCTCGCAGTTGCAGCCCTCCAGCATGTACATGCCGGCGGGGCGGGCGCTCTGCTCGCCCTCGAAGTAGAAGAGCACGTTCTGGTAGAGGGCGAACCACTTCTCGTGCCAGCGGTTGGTCTCCGCCGTCTTCTTGCTGAGGTAGCCGCGCTTGGTGCCCTCCTTGCGGGCCAGCAGCGCCAGGTACAGGGCGTGCCCCTCGTTGTACCGCACGCTCTTCTGCATCGTGCCCGGAGCCCGCGGCCGCGGCGCAGCCTCGCCGGGCGCTCCCGGAGCAATTCATGGGCTCCGGCACGCACCGACGGGGCGGCCCCGGCCCCGCGCCCCGCCCGAGTGGCCCCCGGCCCCCGCCCCGCCCCGCCCCGCGCCGCCTCCCACCGCCCCAGCCACCGCCGCCGCCGGCCAGCGGGCCCCCGGCCGCTGACGTGGGGGATCAGCCGTAAATCCGCTTTGGAGAGCGATTTAAAGAGCAAAGTCTCCGCCGCCGCAGCGCCCGGGTCCCTGCCCCCCCCCCCCCTCCACCCTTCCCCCCATCCCCGCATCGCTCCGCTCCACATCCCTGCGTCTCCCCATCCCTCTGCTCCCCATCCCTCTGCTCCCCATCCCTCCATCTCCCCCTCTCCCCATCCCTCTATTTCCCCATTCCTCTATTTCTCCATCTCCCCATCCCCGCATCCCTCCTCTCTCCATCCCCCCATCCCTCCATCCCTGCGGGCCGGGTGCGGAGCGGGGTTCGGGCGGGGAATCCCGAGGGCAGCGCTGGCCGGGCCGGGCCGGACCGGGCCGAGAGCCGCGGGGTGATTTTGGGGCTGCCCCCGTGGTTTCTCGATAGTTTCCGCCTTTTCCATTCTTGGAGCGAAAATCTTGGAAAGCGGCAGGGCCGGGCGAGCGCGGAGCCGGTAACTTCGCTCCCGAGCTGCGCCGAAAGAATTAAAGCAAAAGGCGGCAGAGAAAGCCAGGAGAAACTCCCCAAAACCCGCCACTTTTATCCCGATATTCACGCTGATAAAGGCGCGGGGGAGCGTCCCAGGTCTCACCCCAGCCCCGCATGTCCTTGGGAGCGCAGAGCCCTGCGGGGGCTGTGCCGGGAACGGGAACAGGACCCTTTATGGATCCAGACCGGGACCTTTTATGGACCCCGACTGGGACCTTTTTTAGCGCGGGGCTCCGCGGGGAGAGGGCGGCTCGGAGAAGCCGAAAATTACAAAGCCGCCAGGTGTGCTCGCCCAGCGGGGCAGCGAGGATGGGGCGCTCTGGGTCCTGCTCCCGGCACATTGGTGCCCGCACACCTTAATCACAGCAGGGAAACTTCGGCGAGGGAGCTGCCCTCTAGAATTGTTTTACATGAAACGCACCAGTATGGAAATTTCTACCAACTACAGCCTTTAATTTAGCAACTCAAACTTCCTCTTAGGGTTCTTTCGGGAAAAGCCTTGGAGTTCTTTCATTTGAAAACGTATTTTGCATATGTAGCTTTCGCTCTTTCTTGCTTGACTGTGTCTCATGAGTAAAAAAGAAAAAAAGAATAAAGATGTGGAAGTTACAATATTCAGTATTGAGGTATAATGCACAGGATGACTTAGAAAATATTTCCTGTGTGAGCTGTGTCAGCACCCGTGGTTTTGTGTATTATTTGCAGGAACTATGGGCCCATGCAGGGTTGCAAGGCTCTCATCTTGTCAACAGACAATTTTGTGTTAGGAAAAAAGCCAAACAGATACACAAACCCTGCTGCAGCTGGCCTGGCTTGCCTTGCATCTCCACACAGTGAAATCTGAGCCCAGCCCAGGTAAGTCCAGGCTTTGGGCAGGGCTTGGACAGCACCGGGGTGGCTGCAGTGTGTGACAGGACTCGTGTCCAGCTGCTGGGCCAGTGCCTCAGCTCCCAGTGTAGGATTCCCTGGAATCTCGTGTCCCTCGCTGGAAGCAGAAGGCAAGGCAGGGAGAGCAGCAGCCTGCCCCTGTTCAGACATCTGACCCTCAGGGAGGAGCTGGGGCCTTCCAGAGCGAGCACCTCGTCCATCACAGCGAGATCCTGCAGCAAGGACCCATCTCTGCCAAGATAAAGTTGCAGGCTCTTGTCCCAGCTTACGTAATTTGTACTCTAATAAAGCTTTTGCATAAATCTTGAGTGATCACGCATCATCTGTTCCACCAGGTCACCTGAGACACACAGGAAAAAAATAAATTAGTTAAATTTTATTTAGAAAGAAAGAAAGAAAGAAAGAAAGAGAGGGTTTTCTTTGACTGCATCATTTTCTCCCTAGACAGGCATTTTTCCTAAGCTGAAAATGTTGAATATGTCATTGCACAGCAATCTATAGGAACTAAAAGGAGTCTAATATTCCTGTTCACTACAGTGAATGTTGTTTGTGTAACCATCAGTTTGTCCTTTATTGTTCAAGTGTGATTTAGTTCTCCACATATTATCTTTATTGATCATTCTTCTACAAGGACAACCTACTTTATTTTTTGCTTTAAATGTCTACAACGTACATATGAAGCTATATACTAGCTAATAGATCTAAATGTATCCATCTATATGGGATTTTTTTAAAAAATCCTTCATTATCAACATTAAAGAAGGGCTTGTTTGTGCTTTTTAGAAAAGGAATTCTAGGCCAAATTCATATGTATGAACACGATTGAGTTATATGTGCAAACAGATGTAAAGGAATCCGTGGATGTAATTTATTCCATAGGGCTCTGAGGAGAAGAGCATACAGATAAGCACAGTTTTACTTAATTTTGTATCCTAATCTTCATTTTCTTGTATCTCAGTTCTGGAGGGTTCATTTATGAAAACACCTGCCCAGGTGTTGCCAGGATAGGCTCCAAGGACCTTGCTGTGGACCTGCAGTGGAAAGTGGTGGGCCTGCATCTGCACAGATAATTTGACCCAAATTTAACCTGAAATTTCCTTTGGGAATAGTCCAGTGCAAGGTGTTCAGAAGTGTCCTGAAGGGGAAACACATAGTGATGTGTTCCACAACAGTGGAATTGCTGAATCCCATACCCTGAAGTGACCCTGGGGATTTGGGGGGCAGGGCAGTGAGTTGTCAATCCTCTGGGTGACAGGAAAATCCAGTTCAGAAATAATGTAAAATTTAGGCCTCTATTCTAAAGAACACTTGGGAAAAGTACTGTTAGTGTAAAGGTAATAAAAACTGACTAAAGCAATGGAGGAAGAGTTGTTACATTAATGTTTTTATGTCTGTTTTTTATATAAATGCTCTATGTTTTTATATGTTTATTTGTCACTAAATCATTATTTGCATTTTCATATCAAGGTAATGTATCCAACACAAATTTAGTAAAGCTGTTGAAGAACTGCTGCAATAACTTATGGGGGAAAAACCCAGTTTCACTAAGAATGCACCTCTGTGTGTCCTCTGTGTGCAGACTGTTTGAGAAGCACAACTGAACCAGTCTCGTCTCTGTGATTTTACTCATTTCTGCTATTCTAATTGTTTACTCTCTGAGGTACAGAGTATAACTTGGCTACCTGAAAGGTATTTGCAATATTCAGCTAGGATTCACTTTTCTGATGAAGCAGGTAAATTTTGAAGTACACACTAAACATCACTGCCATTGTGAGTCCTGAACATCTTGCAAACATCTTTGGGTTTAAATACAGCTGATGACATCATTTGAGAGCCACTGCTCCTGTTTTGTGGAGACATTTTTGAGGGGAGTTTTCTCATTAAGTCAGTTTTAAGTCACTGCATATACCACAGTGGTAATTAATTCCTGATGGATTTACTTGTGGCTGCTCAGTGGTGAGGGAGAGGTGGTGGCACAGGGGTCCATGAGATTCCCCCCTTCAGGAATCTCAGGACAGCACTCAGGGGGAGCTCCAGCAGAAGGCAGAGAACTAAAAATCACCTGGTGTGCAGGTGAGGACATCATCATCATCACCGTCATCACCATCACCATCATAATTTTTTATGATCATGCCCTAACCTCTTAGTGAAAAACGTTGCAAAACCACAGGAAGACCATCCAAGCCAGGGGCCCCTTAGCCCAAGACCAGAAGCCTGGAGGCAAAAAAGAAGCCACTACGTGCTGCCCTTTGTGCGAGGCAGCATCCCCAGGACACAGCTGGCAAGTTTGCTGCTGGTATTTTGGGAGAAGAATAGCTAAATGAGGTTGTAGAGGAACTTTTGAAAGAAACAGTTTGGTGTGTCTGCAGAGGCCATTGGTGAGTTCTTGCCTGTGGTCAAGGACAGCATGAGAAAATACAAAGGACTGTTGAAAATAAATGAGAAAAATAAATGCGTGGCAGAAGGTTTCTCACAGTCAGGCTGGAGAAAATCAAAAGCAGGAGGGGAAAAAAAGAGAAAAGCTGGAATCGAGGGACTCAATTAAACTGGAGAAATAGCACTAGTTAGGCAGGAGGCAAAGGCAGGTGGGCTGAGGGAGAATCCAGCCTGGCTGGCAGAGGGATGGTGGCGAGTGTGGGCACAGAGCTGAGGGAAATTGTGGGGCTGGGGGAGACAGAGCTGGGGGGAACTGGGGCAAGGTGGGGCAGGGAGTCGTGGAGAAAACAAAGCAGAGGGTCCTGGGCGTTTGGCATGGCTGGAGCAGGGGCAAGGAAGAGCTGGAAAAGCCCCCGGGATGCCGGGGGTGAGAGCAGGACCCTGGACAGGAGGAGAAGGGGCCAAAACCTGGGCCAAGGGAGGCAGCAAAGGGGGCAGAAGGAGAGGGGTCGTGTAGGGTCAGAGCAGCACAGGACACCCGGTGGAAGGATTAGGTCCAGGGTGATGCTGGGAAAGAAAGTGGCATTTCAAATGTGGAAACGCTGATAGTCCAAACCAGCACTAAAACAATCACGTGGGGAAGGAGACAGCAGCTTTTCTCCTTAAGCCTGTTTTCAGCTGGTTCCTTTTCAGCAAAGGTTTGCCAGCCGGGATTAAAAGGGAAGAGCCAGGATTCAGCTTGTTGACCAGACGTGTTAATTAAAAGTTCCAGGGCTGTTTTATTTAATACAGATGCAACAAGCATTCGCTAAGCACTAAATGCAAAATGCAGCGACAACAGTGCCTCAAAACTTTCCTCACATGCCTAAAATTTTCATGTAGAGACACAGACTCACTTGTTGGAAATAGGACTGTCAGAGCTGACTTTTAAAGCTGGTGGAGATTACTCCCTTTTCCCCTGCTCTGGGAGGTGTGTAATGAGAATTTCACAGACCCTGTGATTAGCCTGGTGTCCTTAGGAAGGGCA